ACCTTAAATAATTGTCTGAAAATAAGTTCATATAATGGAATAGAAAATTATTCTGTGTCTGTCTTTTAGAGTTAAACTATTTACTTATTTCTTAAAAATTTGAATACTGCTAGAGGAAATAGACCCTAGATTTGTGCTGTGTTCATTGTTCCTTCCTCATTTCTGTACTTGGAAAAAAAAAGCAATTATTTTTGCTCTATGCCATAACATGGTTTGTGGCCTATTATGAGCACAGGTGGGCTCCTTGTGGACTGAGCTTGAGGTCACCTGACAATCTCATGATTCCAAAACCTCATCTTTGTGTTCTCTTCCATCTCTTTGCATCCTGTCCTTCTCTACTGTCCTCTCCGCCAACAGGAAAAACCAATCAACCTTATTTTACTTTGATTTTAAAATTACAAGTCATGTAAGGTGCTTTGACATAAAAAAGGACTCAAATACAACCATTTAAACCATGACAGCTGAACCTACAACACAAAAGATTTTTAAAAATCACTCTGAAGAGTCATATAGGAACTGAGTTCCAGATTTCTGTGAGTGACAATCACCAGTTCCAGCAAAATAATAAAAGGAAGTCTTTTCACTTAAAATGCATAGCTGTAAATATTTTAAGTGTTTTATATTTTTCTGAACCAAGTAAAAGTGGTTTATAAGTCTGGATTATTTGGTATTACTCATCTTTTAATTATTATTATAGCTAGTTATTTTCAAAGGAAATCAATACTTATAATAATACCTTACGTTTAACTTACCAGGGTAAATCTTATTACCCTCATTTTCTAAATAACATTTCCCGATCTAAAAGGTTAAATGTCATTGAACTCTGGTCACAAACGAGAAAGCCTAAAGGTAGGAATTGACTCACTGACTACAAAATTTTATGGGATGGACAAGAGTCTAGTTAATATACTCTGATGTTAACATATTATTCATGCCTAAGACACGTGTCCCCAGTATAGGATGGTTGGTAGTCAGGACCTTCATGCTGGCTTAACAGACTGAATTTTTGTTTTATTAGCTTTTAGTTCGTAATAATTGTAATTGGTTTTATGATTTCTATTCACTTTAGTAAAGTTTATCTGTAGGAAGGACTAGTTTTTCCTCCTAATCAGTGTTGAAGAAATACTAAATTTAAATACAATAGAAGTAAATTACTAAAAAAAAATTATGATGTTTTTCGTTGTGGCAACAGTGTCCAGTTGTCCTAAAATTGTTCAAATGGTTACTCTCAATTACTTGCAGACTGGGTGTGGGGAGAGAGAAGCTGTCAGATTGACACAGGTCTATTTCAAATAGCATGAAAGTCTTAAACCACTGTTTGAGAATCACTATACCAAACCGTGCATATTTCTGTCACAAAGATCTTCAGAAAAAAACCTGGGCCTCCCTTTTTTCTTTTTGGTGGTTTCTAACTCCTTTCAACCAGTTTATCCAAGAATACACTAAAACTGATAGACAGTCTTAGCATTGAGCTTGCAGACTCCTTACATTGCATAGGATCAACTTCATTTCTTTCAGTTTCTCCATTTATGAGCATGATGAATTAGATAATCTTGATCAAATATTAATGATGAGGTTTTTTGAAAGAACTTCTGTGACACTTCATATTGTCTGGATTTAGAGGATGCCTATCAGGGGCTCCAGGTTAGTATGTATGTATGTATTTGTCTTGTTCTGAAGACCATGTGTTTGCAAAGATGCTATGTTTTACTTCTGTGTAAATTGCTACTTCTCTTACCACTACAAATGAAACTTCTCTTTTATGATTCAGGCACTAGCAAAGTTCTAAATCATGCATACCTTGATCTCTTCCATCAAAAGTAAGTGGTTTAATGTTAACAGTTTCCATTTTGGCAGAGACAGTTTATTCAAGACTAAAAGACGATCTGAAAGGCAGTGGTTTTAGAAATAGTAGCAGGCATCGTGGCAGGCCAGGAGGAAAGAAAAACCATATGGGACTTCTGTGTACTTTTGGGAGACGGAAGACAGAAGGGTGATGGAAATGAGATGCCTTGGTAGAATTGATCAGTTGCTATGGTTCCTGAGGTGCATTTTAATACCAGAGGCTGCCGGCTGTGTAAATACATTATTGACATGCATATTTAGGTGCAGGTTACCTGGGAAGATATGACTGTACACTATTCAGTTTGGGGTTCAACCTGAGAAACAATCCATAGTGAAAGGCTCCATAAAAGAACACTCAAGAGAGTAAATTTGAAAGTAAAAGAAAGATGGTGTAGGTTGGGCAAGGTGGCTCACGCCTGTAATCCCTGCACTTTGGGAGGCTGAGGCAGGAGGATCACATGAGGTCAGGAGTTTGAGAACAGCCTGGGCAACAGAGAGAGATTCTGTCTCTACAAAAATAATTTAAAAAATTAGCCAGGCATGGTGGCATGTGCCCTTGGGAAGCTGAGGCAGGAGTATCACTTAAGTCCAGGAATTTGAGGCTGCAGTAAGCTTTGATTTGCAGCACTGTACTCACGCCTGGGGTGACAGAGCAAAACCCTGTCTCTTAAAAAAAAAAAAGAAAGAAAAGAAAAATGGTATAGAAAAGGACATTACAGTGTTCTAGAGAAAGACTTCTTTAGGAGAAGTCTTACTGCTTGCTGTTGCAAACTCAGTGTACTCACCTAGAAAGTGGCATCATGGAATGGCAGTCACTGAGTTCTATAGTGATATGCAATGAACTTAGAGTTAGAATTTCTGGGTTCAGCTCCTTTACCCCAAGCTAGCATCTTGGCATTCTTGACAAGACATCTTATCTTTCTTCTCCTCTGACTTCTCATCTATTTGCTGAGCTTTGGAAGCCCTGGAAGTTATGATAGGGTGGAAATGAAATAATATATATTAAAATCACAATATCAGTTTTTATCTAAAACATCAACATTCTACCTTATTCTCTTTATTCCAAAAAAAAAAAAAAAAAGGATGTAAGGGAGACCAATTGCTATTTAGTGACACTTTTTTAAAATGGTGATGTGGGGTCACCATACACCCACATCCTTATATGACTGTTCTGAAATGTATGAGAGTATTTGATCTGAAGGCCAATTTTATCTTCATGATAAGGGGATTTACCCATACATACTCTTTATGTAAAATGATAGAGTGCTAGGAGTGAGCCTTGTAAAGAATAGCAAATAACTATCAGAGCTTCTTTTATAAAAAAAAATTCAAATAAATGACAAAAACCAGCTGTGATGATTCAGACCATATGATTGTGATCCATAGGGAATTTTATATGCAAAGGCTGAGGAGAGACTTTTCCATTGCAAAAATAGTACAAGACCCGTGTATCCCTCATCCTGCTTTCTCCAGTGTGACATCTTACATGATCACAGTACAATTGCTGAAACCAGGAATTAAGATTGATGTGATGCTGTTAACTAATCTAGAGAATTTATTCAAATTGTGCTAGTTTTCCCATGAGTGTCCTTTTTCTCCTCTAGGATCTCTTGGATCACACAATTGTACCTTCTTAGGCCCATCTAATCCTTCACTGTTCTTTATTTTTTAAAAAAAATCTTTCCTGACCTTTATACTTTGCAGAGTACTCTCTACTATTTTGTGGAATGCTCTTTAATTTTGGTTTGCCTGGTGTTTTCTCATGATTAAGTTGAGATTGTAAATTTTGGGCAAGAATGCCACAAAAGTAATGGTGTGCCCTTTTCGGTATATCCTATCAAGAGGTGTGATGTCAACATGATTTCCACTGGTGGTGGTAACTCCAGTCACTCTTTTAAGATGGGGTCTGTGAGGTTTGTCCACTATACAGTTATGATTTTTCCCTTTGTAATAAGTATCATGTCATTTTGTTTTTGAAGAAGGTTGTATGCTTTCTTAGATTGATGGTCAGTGTTGGAGGAAGGGTCATTCACAGAGGGCTGCAAATTATCCTGTCCTGGTGGGAAGAAATGGTGCCCTAGAAAGATGGAGTCATTATTTAACTGTTCGAATAGATTTCTCTCAATCCATGCTGAAATGGACTGCCTGACATTACATTGCAGGATTTTTAAGTCCTACCTCCAGGCAAATCTCATAGTTACTAGCGAAAATGAAAGTGTGAAATGCTTTTTAATGTATATTTAACAACACATAGTCTGGTGATTACTGATGTGTATTCTCTGTGGACTCCCTTTGCTATCAGAGGAGGATGCTAAGAGACAACTTTTTACACATTTATTCTATGTAAATCCATCACATGTTTACTTTTTAAATATCTATGACTGTCATTTATAACAAGATCATAAAAAGTCAAATATAAAAGTCTAACTCAAACTTTGAATCATATGATTACAACCAATTTTCAGGAAAAGTACAATTACCTTTTATGAGTGATGTTTTCCTTATTTTGCCTTATGAAATTGCCAACTATTAAATGATACTAAAATATAGCTGTTCAAAAAAGAAAAGATACAGCTTAGTAATGGGGGTATGAGGGGTAATGCTACTTTATTCATCTTTTTGATTCAGAAATTCACATAACTCCTATTTAAAGGAATTTTCATCATTGAATCCAGTATCATGTCTGCTTGTGTTGAAGAAGTAAATTTCGCAAAATGTACTTAATTCCTTCCTATGGTGTCCCTATTTAATAAGGATTAAGGTACCATTTTTTGCATTTATACTGGGTTGCACAGCAAGAGTTCACATCTTATACTAATAAATGCTAAATAGTTGCATAGTATATAGATCATTGTTGTTAAAATAGCAATACTGAAGGCATTTTAGATCACAGAGCCCCAGTGGTCTACATTTTGTTTGCTTTGACATTATTAAACTCAATCTGTTTCTCTAACTGTGACTCTAATTACTACATTTGCATGGCAGAAAAGTTTGCTTTGTGGGTTGACTTTTATTAACAGTGCTTGCATGTTATTTTCTGCTCTTGCTCTCAGTGTTTTTTGAGCAGACAGAGCACCTTCAGTTGTATTGAATAATTATGCACAATCAATAAGTATTTGTGTTTGTCTTTGTTGTTTCTTTGATGTGGCCTCTAGGATGCTGCCGGCAAGGTGCTGGACCGCTGGGCCATCATGTCTCGAGAAGAGGAAATCATCACCCTTCAGCAGTTTCTGCGGTTTGGAGAAACCAAATCCATTGTGGAGCTGATGGCAATTCAGGAGAAAGAAGGGCAGGCTGTGGCTGTACCATCTTCAAAGACAGACTCAGATATAAGGACTTTTATTGAGAGCAATAATCGTACCAGGAGTCCCAGCCTCCTTGCTCACTTAGAAAACAGCAATCCTTCTAGCATTCATCACTTCGAAAACATCCCAAACAGCCTAGCATTTCTGCTTCCATTCCAGTACATAAACCCCGTCTCAGCTCCACTGCTAGGGTTGCCTCCAAATGGGCTCCTGTTAGAACAACCAGGATTAAGGCTGCGGGAACCAAGCCTTTCAACCCAGAATGAATATAATGAAAGCAGTGAATCTGAAGTCTCTCCCACACCTTATAAGAATGATCAGACACCCAATAGAAATGCCCTGACTAGCATTACTAATGTGGAGCCCAAAACTGAGCCAGCCTGTGTCTCTCCCATTCAGAATTCTGCCCCAGTCAGTGATCTAACCAAAACAGAACACCCAAAAAGTTCATTCCGGATTCATCGCATGAGGAGGATGGGGTCAGCCTCTAGGAAAGGAAGAGTGTTCTGTAACGCATGCGGGAAGACATTCTATGACAAAGGTACTCTCAAAATTCATTATAATGCCGTTCACCTGAAGATCAAACATCGATGCACCATCGAAGGTTGCAACATGGTCTTTAGCTCCCTCCGAAGCCGTAATCGCCACAGTGCAAACCCCAACCCTCGCCTTCACATGCCCATGCTAAGGAATAACAGAGACAAAGATTTAATTCGGGCCACTTCAGGAGCTGCCACCCCTGTCATAGCAAGTACAAAATCAAATCTCACACTCACAAGCCCTGGCCGGCCCCCAATGGGTTTTACCACTCCCCCACTAGATCCTGTCTTACAGAATCCTCTCCCTAGCCAGCTCGTGTTTTCTGGGCTAAAGACTGTACAACCAGTTCCTCCATTTTATAGAAGTTTACTCACCCCAGGGGAAATGGTGAGTCCTCCAACCTCCCTCCCCACCAGTCCCATCATTCCAAGTGGTACCATAGAGCAGCACCCCCCACCACCCTCTGAGCCAATGGTGCCAGCAGTGATGATGGCTGCCCACGAGCCCAGTGCTGACCTGGCACCTAAGAAAAAGCCCAGGAAGTCAAGCATGCCTGTGAAGATTGAGAAGGAAATCATTGATACCGCTGACGAGTTTGACGATGAAGACGATGACCCTAATGATGGCAGCGCTGTAGTCAACGACTTGAGCCATGACAATCATTGTCACTCCCAAGAGGAGCTGAGCCCAGGCATGTCTGTGAAGGACTTTTCCAAGCATAACAGGACCCGATGCATTTCAAGGACTGAAATTAGGAGGGCAGATAGCATGACTTCTGAGGATCAAGAGCCTGAGCGGGACTATGAGAACGAGTCTGAGTCTTCAGAGCCCAAACTGGGTGAGGAATCCATGGAAGGGGATGACCACATTCACAGTGAAGTGAATGAAAAAGTCCTGATGAACAGTGAGAGGCCTGATGAGAACCACAGTGAGCCCTCTCACCAGGACATCATCAAGGTGAAGGAGGAGTTCACAGACCCCACTTACGATATGTTTTACATGAGCCAGTACGGACTGTACAATGGTGGAGGGGCCAGCATGGCTGCCCTGCATGAAAGTTTTACATCGTCTCTGAATTATGGCAGCCCTCAAAAGTTCTCCCCAGAAGGGGACCTGTGTTCTAGCCCAGACCCCAAAATCTGTTATGTGTGCAAGAAGAGTTTCAAAAGCTCCTACAGCGTGAAGCTTCACTACAGGAATGTTCACCTAAAAGAGATGCATGTCTGCACAGTGGCTGGCTGCAATGCTGCGTTCCCCTCTCGCCGAAGCAGAGACAGGTCAGTAAATCTCCATTGGCTGCTCCTGCTGGGGGTGGAGGGTGCCAGTTTCATGTTGGACTTAACATTAACAAAAATCCAACTTAGATGTTCTTGATGCACTGTAAAGATTATCCACAGTGACCACCTGATAACTAAGCTGCCATGCTCATGAAGGATTGTTGCCGTTGGTGCTTGTTATGATTAAGCATGCAGGATCATATGCCATCTTACCCGTAATGCACGCCATTTTTCTCTGTGTGCTGTGTATATGTGTGTGTATGTGTTTCCATGCATCTAGGTGTGAATTCGTTAACTGTGTACACAGTTCCCTGCTTCCCGTGAACCTTCACTTAGGAGCCGCAGCTTCTTTTATTTATATATTTCTGCTTTGCCTTGTGGCTTTAAATTAAATCAATATATTATCTTCATACACACATATTTATCCAATATAGAAACAGAAATTTACGGATGGAAAGAACCATAGGTCCAGGACATCGAGACAGCCTGCATCTCCGTAGGTATAACCAGAAATGTTATCATTCATTACATGAGTATTTAGTGTGTCCTTGAATTCTTTAAGAGTCATGAGAATACCAGAAGAAAATGGGAACAAAATAATTGTTGATGTGGGGAAATGGTAAGGTTGTGTTTCTTTTGTTTTAAATTCACAGTGTCTTTGAGCATATCTCTAAAGTATAGTCTACCATGGGAATTATGCACAAAAGGGGAGGCATCCATATACTTTCAGGATCATTTAGAATATATTGTGTCCAGCCTTCAGATGACATCACATCCTTGCTATGTAGCTGCAGCTCTGAAACAGTTGTGCTTAAACAGAAGCAGCTGGTCCTAAACGTACAGTGTTCTTTATTAATCCTAAAGAAAATGTCATGTAAATGGAATGTGTCAAGGTGGTTAGTGGTAGGGTAACATAGTTATCCTACACTCGTGGAGATAAAGTTGTGAGCAGATGATTTACATAATATACCAGCCCAACTCAGGTCACACACAGAGCAGTTAGTTCTTTCCATTATATTGGATGTGGTTTTTGGTTCTGCATTGTCTTTTAAAAATATTTATAGAGAAAATTTCGTTAACATGTAGGAATCAGTATATGTGGAAGAAACAAATTAAAGTCAACTAGGACGTTTTCAAATATCTACCCCCCAAATTCTGGTGCTTATGGGTAGAGTTCCTTGACAAAGTAACATGTAATAAAAGTACCACTGAGAAGTAGTGACCTGTCTCTAGAATATTCTGTTTTGTCTTCATATTTGAAAGATCAATCCTTTTTTAAGTACAAGTTATATATATATATAACTTTTGCTAAAAGTTATATATATAACTTTCTACTGAAATAAAAGGGGACCAATCTATGAAAAGCAAAATCTCTAAGAAAAGTAAGTAGCTTTCTTATGCAATTCAAAACATGCTTTGAGGGGAAATTTGTCTTCTTAAAGATTTTCTCACTCCCATTTACCATGTTCTGTAAAAATGGTTTATAGTTACAAAGTTAGTTTCAGTTCCAAATTATCATTGGCAGCCCCAGAATACATGAGATAAGGTAGCTTTACTTTGAATAATAATAAAATACTTTTATCCAACCTACGCCAAGTTTGTGAGTAATATTCAATTCTTTTAAGTTTGAAATAGAATGCTAGTGATGATGAGGTTAATGCATTAGATTTTTTTTTAACAAAAATAAAAGACTCATGAAAACCTGCATAAAATATTTATGGAAATGGAATGTTTGAAGACAAGCCAAAATTTAAGCTTATTTGCATGAACTCCTATCACCATTTTAGTTGGTTTGCTGAAAATATTACAAGTCATAACACTGGAATAAATAGCTACACACCCAAAACTTGTTGCTTTCATTTATGTAAAATCACTAGAAAACACAGGTGCTGGTGTGTTTATGTTTAGCATAAGGAGGGTACTGCTGAGTCTGTCTGAGGAAAAACATTTGTTGATAGCAGGAGAATATTTCAATCTCCATTTTTAGTCTAAGGATTTGAAGTTTAGTGAATGACCAGCCATACAGAAGCTTAAACCAGTCTCTGGGATGACTAGGGTATTCTAGGTGGGAAGAATAGTACAGATGTGCTCCCATGGGTGGTTCAGTTACACAGGAGAGAACAAACCTCAGAAGACACTTGGCACATATCATTTGGGTGAAATCACATCATACCTAATCTTTTTAATTTTAGAGTTTTATCACACATGATAAGTAAGGAAAAGCAAATTGAAAAAGTATTATAGAATAAACATTTTTTGATTCTCACTTTTGAAATTATGTTCTTTAAAAATACACAGATCTTTGATCCCAGGTTAAAAACAGCAAAAATTCTGATACTTTAATCTTGACATTATTTTTCTTAAGAAGCAAAGTATTCATCTTGATTGAGTCTATGACTTGAATTAATATAATGATGTGAGTTTAGCTACCACCAAATAAACAGAAACAGGGGTGCCTTTGGGGTACCAGCATCTTCCCACATCTCAGTAGAGTGGACTGTGAAACATAATTATACTCTTGTTTTGGCCTTTTATCATCATTTCATCAACTAATGTCAACCTGTGCTTTAATCTCTTTATTCACAAAGTTCTTGTATCATATCTCTGATCTATCCCTTAGACCTACCTTCTCCTCCCTCCTCACTTTCACTGTATCAGTCACAAGAACCGAAGTTGTGTCCCTATTTTTTTCCTCTTTAATTCACTGTGAAGCTAAAATGAAGTTATTTGGGTTTGTTTGGTTTTTTTTTACCTTATTCTTGAGCCAACAGATCTTCCCAAAGAGAAACCCTCCTTTGTCTTTAATCCTGCTGTCCTCAGGCCCATTTCTTTCCTCTCCCGAGTCTCAGTTTCATCCATCCGTGACTCCAGAATGTCTTCCTTGTGCAAATAAAACATTAGAGGGGATTTTGAGTGGGGACGAAAGTGTGTAAGGCTATAGGGTTTCTAGGATGCCTGTCACAAAGCTAACAGAATTGCCCTCTGCCTTGTGTTTATGAAAGCAGCCTTCTTGTCTTCAGGATTAGAACACCTTACAAGAGTTTTTACACAGATCTTCCTGGGCTTCTGAACCATGATGGTTATCCATGAGGGGGTTGCATTTTTGGTCTCGAGATAAGTATGTTAGTATAATGGAAGTAGAAAGATGTTAAATACTGTGTTTTAGGTTTGGCAGTTAGTTAGCAAAGATTTCCAGGTTTTTGCTTATGGTCCTTCTAGATTTTATAAGATCAAGTTACAGACTTTTTGGAAATAAGAATGTGTTTTGTCTAAAGTGACAGAAGAGGAGGGAAAGGGGGGGGCACACGCAAGGTTTGTTAGAGCTGAGGATTCTAAGCAACAGTGTCAAAGGTATCCTTTCCTGTATAATTGTAAATGAGTGTGTGTTTAATAAATTCAAAAGCCAAGAGGACCATTCCACACTAATGACAAAGAGCAAGCTAATATACACAAACTCCAATTCATCCTGGGTGCTAGATAGCTGTTAGAATAATTTTAATTCTGAGTGATAATGAAATGTAAATAATTTTCTCTGTAAAGAACCGCAGTACTCTAAGGTGATTGCTAAAGTGTTTGACTGTATACTAACGTTGTGTAGTATTAAATTTCAAATAGTTTTTTTTTCCTTCTTGTTTATCCCTTAATTTTTCTGCTGCTGATGGGCTGTTCTGTTAAGGAGCAGGTGGCTGGCCCTCGATTTTGAAGTGTACATATGAAGGTCTTCCCTGGGAAGAAGAAATTCTGACTAACTGGCCTGGAACCTAGAGTCTTCATAAAGGAAATTTTCTTAACGAGAGCATCATATTCGGAATTAGCTGGTGTTATTAAATAGTTTACCTCTAGTCATTTTTCATCCTCTGACTTGATTTTTGATCTCCAAAAGGGCTGAGTGGCCATGGATCACCTGTATTTAAAAATTACGTTTGGTTTTTATTCAAGAAAAAAAATTAACCAAATAAATACCCTTTAGTCTTCTTTCCTAGCATTCCTTATCATTTGCTAATAGGTTAAAATTTATTTATATTTGTTATAGTAATTGGCAATTTTAAAACTCCCTCAACTAAAATGAAGACTTTGTAGTCAGAAACTAAATGATCTGTATAGAAATAAGTAATTATCTCTTTGTTTTTCATCTTACATGAATTTTAAGATCTTTGTTCCCCTCTTCTCAGTACAGTGGCCACTAATTGTGAAGGTTTATCTTAAATTTTATCTGAAAGGTAAGCCTGTGTGTTTTATCTTTAAGGTACAGGAAAAGTGATTCAGCCACATGAATCAATTTAAAAACAAAATAATATTTGCTTAGGGTTATTTATAAATAAATATAAGGCAACCATTGGTGCCAAATGTGAACCTTCTCTTTGATTGCTAGTTAAATCAGTCCAGATTTAAACATGTAAACTTCTCTATTTGTATGGGGTAAGACATCTGTGTTTGGTTTATTAAAAACTGCTGATGTCTCTAGAACTAAATTTGTTTCTATATAGGCCTCTGGGTAGCTGCAGCTAAAAAACAGAGATATATAGTTTTTGCTTGTCTTATTACCTGACTTCCAGCCCTGTACAGGTGTGCAGGAATAAATTAACATGAGCTACCTCTGATGAGCCACTGCATACATTAACAACAGAGGTGAAGATGTGAAAACATGTTACCTGCCTCCTGTTATCACCTTCTCCACATAGCAATCCATTTTTTTCCATCTTTCTCTGTGTTTGGAAACTTATACAGAACTTTTTCTAGAGAGAGCTTTTCAATAAATACACATGATTTCACCAGGCAATACCTCCAAGAAATGAGCCACTTAGCACCAATTCAAAATGACTATTAGTATATTTGCCCTAATATAATTAGCTGTCAAATACAATGTGTTAATCCTCTCCAAGTACAAGAGGAGAACGTTTTAAGGCATTAGCTGTTTCATTTCCTGTATTTTGCCAATTTAACTGCAATTCTCTATTTCTAAAATTCTTTTATAAAGTTGTGCAAGTCCTCTGACTTGTTAAACGTTAAGGAAGAGATTTTTTTCCCCGGCTACTCTGTTTGGATTCACAATAGAGCCAGCAGATCAATAGACCTTTTGTACTTATCTCCATTACTTTCCATCAAAAGCAAACAAACAAAATAAATCCCCCTCCTGAGTAATTGCTCGTTTTGCCCTCCTCAAGCAAAACTTTGGTAGTAAGATAAACTTCGGTGTCATTCTTGTCTCTGGGGTTCTTTTTATATATTGGGAGAAGAGCAGTGAGCAAAACGGTCTCCTTGTATCATGGGGAGAGACTCTGTCAAGCCTAAAGTGAACCTCCCATCTTCCTAATGACCTCCTGCTGGCCCAGCAGGATGCAAGACAAGCTCATTTAAGCCTCTGCTGACCTTTCACTCCTCCACTACAAGAACCACACCAGTCACTTCCATCGTTTTCAAAACTGCATACCAAATAGACCACAAAGCTTCATGGTCAACAAATGATTTCCCTTTCATGATGCAAAGAGAGTTTTACAAA